AGAATTGTTGGCATCTGGTGATTTAAAAAAATATCAATTTTGCTCTGGCCATTGTGGCTCAGTTGGTTGAGTATTATCCTGTGCACCCAGAGATTGCTGGTTTTAGGCTCAGTCTTCAGTAGGGTGTGTGCAGAGACCACCAATGATGTTTTTGTCTCTCATCCTTTCCCTTCCTCTCTCTCTAAAATCAACAAAAGCATATTAAAGGGGAAAAAAAACTAACATTTTTTAAAACTTTTAAATATATCAATTTTGAGAAGGTTTACTTACCTAAAGACAATGCCTGTAGTCGGGGTAGACTACACCTACTTTTCCTCCCTGGGTATACTGTAAAAAAATAATGGGTCACTAAAATTAGCATGCATACATATATATGCATATATAAATCCTATGTGTTCCATGTATATATGGCATACATATATACATATTTCTCAAGGGGCAGGGTGACCTCAGCTAACATTTGTTACAGTTAGGATGTATTAAATGTAAAGGCTAACATTTGTCAAAAGATCATTTATTTCTAAGAGCTACAGAAATACAAAGAGTGCAATATAAACATCTTTCTTAAAAGAGTGAATTTCACAGTTTATACGGAATAGTTTGGCTTACAAAATGTAATCTGACACTGCACACTATTCAAAAACATAAGCTTAACTTTTATAACTAATATCAGACCCCAAATAAAGATAATAATTTCCTGTGATGTTTATATAAAATGAATCCAATAAAATTTTTGATTCTACATTATGGAAAAACACATCAAAAAGTCAGAAGATACTCCCTATATATATATAAAAAAAACTTTCAAGTTCTCATAATTCTGCAAATGTCATTTTTTCCATAAAGAATAATGATATTTCAGGAAAAAATGTCCTAAATTTCAAACTGTTCTTTCTGTAATCATGTAAAAGGCACACATACAAAAATAAATGGCATGAGTGAAAATGAGGAGTTTGCTTAAGATTTAGCTTTAATGTCATCTATCTTTGTAAAGTGACTCTTCGTGACAGCCAAACAGTCACTATAGATCACACAAGCAGTAAGTCTTCTGGAAGTTTCTTCTAAGGTAATTTTCCCCATGAGGCCATCGATAGTTATTCTGTGATGTCGTTTACATTCTCTTCATAATTTTGAAAATGTGTGAGACAAAAGCCTAGAAGTCTGGATTGAAACAATACACTTCCGAAGAAAAACCACTGGAAGTCTTTGAGCTACCTGTGTGCCATTGTACCCACCAGGCTTGGGTGTTAAAAACTGGGGGACAGAAAATCAATAAAATACATTAAGCTTGACTTGGTCCCACTAGTTTAAAAAAAGTAAATGAAAATGAAAAGAAAACCTCTATTCCATTCAAAATACACGGTCACCTACACGGTCTCAGTCCTCTAGGAACCCTGCCTGTCTTAAAGGATTTACCGAGAAAACCTAATAAATAAAAGGGCCAAGATTTCAGATCCTCGCTGTTTTACTAAAGCTGTAAATAGTATTGATTTTCATCAAACAGCTGAGAAATATTTGATTCAAAGCCTATTTGGCCCCTTGACAAAGATGTGTCAGACCTAATTCAAATTGTTAACTTAGTGCATTAAGGATTAAGTAGCCGCTAAACCCCTGGTTCTGCTTGGTTCCTTTGTACTCGGTTGTACTCAGCATCAACCAAAGCAGGGCCTTCGCAGAGACGCTTCTGAGGAAGTAGCTGTGCCCAGGGCCAATCCTGAGCCCTGAGTCCCCATGCAGGGAGGCTTCTGGTCTTCTAGTTTGCAAAAGCTGCTGCTTCCTGTGGCTCCACCTGCTGTTTTAGACTCTGGTGGGTCTTTCAGTCCTAGGCGGTTCTCTGTAGCTCTGATGTAAAAGAAAGCATGTTGTTTCTGTACAATTTGGTGCAAACCCTTTAGTTTGCTGACATCCTGAACCCGTCACTCTCTGCTGGCTTTGGTTTCCTATTAGCTTACTTAGAGCAAACCACATCCTTTCCACCACCAATTCCCAAAGGAGCAGTAGGACCCCTGCCTCTCGTCAGCTTCCAGCTACAACTCGCCTGGGAGATTAGAGGCCTCCTGCAATGTGTTACATGAATCCTAACAGGTAGACTTTGCTTCGTGACCTTGGGAATCGCAACTTATCATCCAATGTCAAAGTTTCTTCCAGAATGGTGTGTCCTTGGGCATAATGTTTCATGTCAGTAGGTCTCATATTATTCATCAGTTGAATGGAGGAGGACAGGGAATAGATATATTCACCTACTGTTCTCAATGTCAGAAATAAAATAAGTCATTATAATCTCTAGTAAGAGAGTCAGAAAGAAAACCACGGATTGGCTATTCACAGATTCATCCATCCACTCATTAGAATACAAAATATCATACATGCAGAAAACTTGTTTTTCTTCTCTGGGGACCCAGTAGCAAAAACAGTATCAGGCATGAAAACGATCTGGATCCATTCAGTAACTGGCCTGTTCCTAGATTTCCATGGTCATATGACTCTTGGAGGAGGAGTAAGGCGAGGGAATTCCCTTGAGACATTGCCTCTGCATCAGAAGGGGGCCAAAGCGGCTGGGGGACAGGGTGACCATTGCCAGAATTAGAAATAACCCATATCTGGAGGAAAGATTGCACAGTATTCCTGCAGGGTGAAGATTTGAAAAGTAAATAGAATTTATAGAAGTGAAAGATATAATCATTGAAATAAAAGCAAAGTCAATGGATGGGTTAAATGATGGATTTGATGCATTTGAAAGAGAAATTGTGAACTTAAAAATATACATAAAATGACTTTGTAAGCAATAAGGTGAAAAACAAGAAAGATTAAGAGACACGAGCAAAGGATAAAAATGTCTAACTTATATCTAGTTCAGTTCCAGTAGTAAAGACTAGGAAGAACGCTGAGGAGACAGTACTCGTATTTAAAATCATAATGGGAGTAAATTTTCTCCATGAAAAAATATAGATCCACAATCAATGCATTGCAATCAAGACTAAAAGAAAAATCTATGCCAAGATACACTGTAGTAAAACTGAAAAAGACAGTAATCTTGAATTAGAGAAAAGGCAAGATAATGTGCAATTGAAAGACTGTTAGAAAGAACCACAGAATTCTCAACCACAGCAACAGGAGCCAGAAGATATGAAAAGTTACCTTTAAAGGATTAAGAGATGATAACTATCCACAGGAATTATAACTTAAAATATAATGCATTATGTTATACTCATAACTAGAGGCCCAGTGCACATATTTGTGCACTGAGGGGGGAGGTCCCTCAGCCCAGCCTGTGCCCTCTCCCAGTTTGGGACCCACCGGGGGAGGTCCGCCTACCAGCTTAGGACTGATCCCCCTAGGGATCGGGCCTAAGCGGGCAGTCAGGCATCCCTCTCACAGTTCAGGACCCCTCACTCCTTCCCACCCGCCTACAGCAGAGGCGGGAGAGGCTCCTGCCACCACTGCTGCGCTCGCCAGCCATGAGCCTGGCTTCTGGCTGAGCGGCGCTCCCCCTGTGGCAGAGCTTTGATCACCAGGGGCAGCTCCTGTGTTGAGCATCTGCCCCCTGATGGTCAGTGTGCGTCATAGCTACCGGTCATTCTGCCGTTTGGTTGATTTGCATATTAGGGTTTTATTATACAGGACAGTGTTGTACAGCATGATAAAGTATAGTATAGTATAGTATAGTATAATATAGTATAGTATAGTATACCTACTTTAGCATATTATTTTTGGAATAGTGATTATTCTAAAATGAGAGAAGGTAGGAGGGTGGGATAGGAGGGTGTATCTTTTAGTCTTTATTGCAATGCATTGAGCCAATTCACAGCATATTACAGTATTAAATTTTTGACACATGCCTTGGTTCATGAGTTTACATTGTATCATAATAAAAAAGCAAACAGACAAAGACAATAGGGCCTTAACCAAGGACTCTGTTAAAATAAAATATGAAACAAAAGCAATCTGGACCAATTAAGTAATGGAACATAAGAAATAGGTAATGACATGACAATAAGCACTGAGTACTATTCTTCAACTGCTAATAATCTGTAAGATGTCATAAGAGGAAAATAGCCCTTGAGTTTCTGGAGGCGCCGTGTAAATAGTCCTTCTCCTTGACATCCATTGCTTCTCCTCCCTCCGGGCTGAGCTGAGATGGAAATCACAGCTACGGAATGACTTCCTGTTCTCATAGACCCTGACTCTCTTTCCCATTACACACAGAAAAACACTTATCACCGAAATAGATACTAATCTGCTTCTGATGGTTACACACAGGCTCAGAGAGAAATAGGGCAGCCCACCCGGCATGGCTCAGTGGTTGAGCGTCGACCTATGAACCAGGAGGTCATGGTTCCATTCCTAGTCAGGGTACATGCTGGAGTTGCGGGCTGGATCCCCAGTCAGGGGGCGTGCAGGAGGCAGTCAATCGATGATTCTCATCATTGATGTTTCTATCTCTCTCTCCTTCTCCTTTACTCTCTGAATTCAATAAAAACATATTTTTTTTAAAAGAAATAGGGAAAAGTTGAAATTCTGCATTAAGTATAGGAGCCATAATATGTAAAATATAGCTTAAGGGCAATAGCTTATGAATCGCCTGGAGATAAATGGTTTAGGATGACTAAGTTCATGAAAGTTCTCTGATTTAGTAAATTACGGAATGGTATTGTTTTAGGGCATGATGCATTTTCAATGTCCATCTCCATTTAGTTCTACGTCACTTAATATTTTTCCTATATCACCTTGTGTCACCGTGGCCCTGTGTAGCAATAGAGAGGAGAAAGACATGGGTTTGGATCAGTCTTGCCAGGATTTGCTGTTTCCATGGTGGCTTCTGACATCATTGGAGTAAGGCTGAAGGTAAATTCAGCCAAGCTTAGAGGGCATATTTTTTACCAGAATGTATATCAGCTAAACACACATTTCCAATTTGTTTTGTAAGACACCAACCATGTTTTTTTAAAGGTAGTTTCGTACTCCTTGTTTTTACTATTAGTTTGGTGTGGTTTTGGTTCTTTAATATGGAATACTTCACAAATTTGTGTGTCAGCCTTGTCCAGAGATCACGCTAATCTCTGTACCATTCCAATTTTCGTATATGTATTGCCAATGTGAGCACTACTGTTAATTTGTAATAAATATTATCAAGGTCCTATCGTGAACTCTTACATTGTCTATACATATCTGTAATGAAAGGTTTTCATATGTGAGAATAGAATATAGCTAGCAGAAGTTCATAGTAACAGATTGTTGTATTAGAAAATCTTTGGTAAGATTTAGTAAAAGTAAATATGTTCCTGGAAAGTGTGTTATTGATCATTTCAGGAAACGGCTTTATATTTTAAAAAGCCTTGAAGTCAATCTGGTACAATGACAGCAGCTGACAGAAGAATGGGGCTGTAATTAAGTTCAGCTCAGTGAAAAGAGAACATTCTTCATTATGTAGCTTCCAGAACTTCTCTTTTCTTATATCATTAAAGATTTTAGAGGGGAAAAAAATCAATAAATACTGCAATCAGTGCTTGTTTTATATCATTAAAAAGCACTTTAATAACTACATAGAAATATACTATTTAGGCTAATAAGATATACAGGCACAAAAAACATAATAAGGCACATTATGCAGTAAATACAGTAGGAGTATATTTAGCCTCCAGATTCATTCATGTTGTCACAAATAGCAGGATTTTCTTATTTTTTAGGATGAATAATATTTAATTGTATGCATGTGTCACATTTTTCTTATCAACTCACTTGCCAATATACATTTAGATTGCTTTCCATGTCTTGGCTATTGTGAACAATACTTCAATAGATAATGGGAAGGCAGATATCTCTTCAAGATCCTGCTATGAATTCAGATATCAATAATACCAACAAATGGTATTAATAGATCATATGGTAGTTCTACTTTTAAATTTTGAGTGGCTGCCCCAAGTTACATCCCCAAGTTACATAAAAAATGAACCATGGTTCCCTTTTCTTCATATCCTCACCAAAACTTGATGGATTTGTACATTTACTTTATTTTATTTTTTAGTAGCCATCCTCACTGGTGTGAGTTGGCTCATGATTTGCATTTCCTTGATGATTAATGATGTTGAACACATTTTCATACACCTATTGGTCATTTGTATGTTTTCCTAGAGAAAAGTTGATTCAGTTCCTTTGCTCATTTACTAACTGAATTATTTGTTTTCTTACTATTGAGTTGTAGGAGGTCCCTTTGTATTTTGGATATTAACCCTTTATCAGACATATAGCTTGTAATATCTTCTCCCGCTCTATAGGTTATCTTTTACTTCGGTTGATTATTTCCTTTGTTGTTCAGAAGCTGATTTTTTAATGTTCTGCATTTTTTTCATTTCTAACCGCTTTATTGAGGCATGATTGACATACTAAAAGATGTACCTATTTAATGTAAATGACTTGATGACTTTAGATAAAAGTATACAACTGTGAAACCATCAAAGCTTTTGTTTATGAGAAATGTACAAGGCTTTCTTTTATGAGAAATCTAAAATAGCCAAACTTATTCAAGCAGAGTAGAATAGTGGTGGCCAGGGTCTGGGAGAAGGGGGACATAGGGAGGTATTAGTCAAAGGATACCCAATTTCAGTTATACAGACAAAGTAGTCCTAGGGGTCTACTATACACCCAGTGCCCATAGTTAATAATAGTTAACTGTATACTTCAACATTTGTTAAGGGGTTAGATGTTATGTTTGGTTTTATGACATACTAATAATAATAATAAAGAGGATTGGAGGAAAACTTTGGAGGTGGTAGATATGTTTATGGCATAGATTGTGGTGATGGCTTCACATATATTTATCTTCAAATTCATCAAACTTATATATTAATTATGTATAGATTTTGTATGTCAATCAACCCTCAATAAAGTGTTTTTAAGAAAGAGCCCAGCCAGAGTGCTCAGTGGTTGAGCATCAACCTACAAAACAGGAGGTCACAGTTCAATTCCCAGTCAGGCACATGCCTGGGTTGCAGGCTTGATCCCCAGTAGGGGGCATGCAGGAGGCAGTTGATCAATGATTCTCTCATCATTGCTGTTTCTATCTCTCTCCCCACCTCTCTTTCCTCTCTGAAATCAATAAAAATATATTTTTTTAAAAAAGAAAGAGTATATTTCCCAAAAATAAGCCTTAGCTTTTTTCTCTGTCTCATACGTGAACCCCAAAATCTCAAATATCACTAATTGAGTTATGATCACTTATTTATTATAATAAATTAAATGGAGGACACCTTAAATGCGATGCAATATTTTTGGACATGCAGTAAGAGTTTGCAAATGCAGATATTTAAGATAAATGGCATCCTGTCATGAACACAGGCATAAGAGACAAAACTGAGTTTGAAACTTGGCTCAACTGCTTCCCAGCTGGTGACTTTGGGCAAGTGTCATCAGGAAACGGAGACAGTAACTACCCTAGAGGTAGGTTTTTAACATGAAATGATAAATGCACATAATGACTTGGGGAAAGATCTGTCATTTAGTAAACGCCCAGTAAATGGTCATTATGTCACTATCTATTTTGAAGGATAAAAGAGAAAGAGAAAATAAATGCAAGTAGGAGCACTGGTAACCTAAATAGTCAGTAAGCTTAATACAAGACAGGGTTTCGTCTGAGAAAAGTTAATTAAAGTCATTCATTCCCTTTCTCAATTTTGAAAGAAATCTGATATTTTTTTTAGGAGATGGCCTCTCTGTTTTTGCAGATGCTTGCTTTAGGCTCACGATGTAAAAGAGCCAAACAGATATGATGCTAAGAAATATGGCATCGGAGAGTGCTAATTCAGTGGCCAAATAGAGTTTCTGTGGGCGGGGTGATTTTTTGAAACTGACAGCACGCTGTCTAATACCACATTTCCTTATTCATCCCCAAGGAGCATGAACCACCACACTCTGAGCGCCAAGCCTTCCCGATTGGCTGGGTATAACGTTGGGAAGCTTTATAGCTGAACTTGAAAATAAATCTGCATGATTTGGGGCTTTGAAATCAATTTTTGGAATATTAATCTGAGAGAACAACCGGCATTTATCCTGCCATTGGCCCTCTTAACAGCATGCCGCGCAATTCTTCGGTGAGTGATTGAGACTCTTCTATGGCCTTCTGTCGCGGTACGTTCCACACAAGGCAGCAACTCCTTAATGGATATTTGTTCACCTGTCTCCTCTGCTCCAATAAGAAAGCTGACATAAATATACACTCGCATTGCTCTGAGGATTTATTCACAGAGAAACGATCTGTCAGGAAGTGCGTTACATCCAGGAGACATTCATCTCTCCGTGTGCAGGAGGCCACCAGATGGTCGCTCTCCACAGCTCTTGTGGGCTGTGAATTGGCACTAATTGAAACATCAGCGCTCACTTCAAGGCTCCTAGAGAGAAACCACGTCCCCAGATCTCCGAGTCCTCAAAACCACGAATTTAGAGTGTGCTGCACTTAATGTTATTTAATGTTATCATTTTGCAAAAATCAGTCACACTTTTATAGAAAATGTTACCCATGCGGAAGAAAAAAAATCCTTGAAATTCTATCATTAACATTGCACATAAGTTTATTCTGATTCTAAATGGCTCCAAATACCATTTTTTTTCAAGATGGTATAAAACGATTCTATGATCAATTTCACTCTAAGAAGGATATTATTTTGAAATGGTTTGATTTATCTGGAGATATACATAGATTTTTTAATAATGGGAAATAAAAATAAATTACTATTTGATTATCTCCTGTATCATTTTCATGGCCCTAAGCTAAAGAGACAAAAACACATTTAAACGGCTACTAGCTACTCAAATAAGTAAAGCCCATCTCACAAGTTTTTCAGAAAATAGTTTATATTGGTCAAGTTCCTAATTGTTTACAAAATCCTATATAATAAAAGGCTAATATGCAAATAGATGGGACAGCAGAACAACTGGAACAACCAAACAGCCAGTCGCTATGATGTGCGCTAACCACCAGGGGGCGTGCGCAGAACACAGAACATGGCGGGTGTCGGCCATTGCAGCTTGGTGGAGCAGGTGAGCAAGGCGGGGCACTGGTTGCTGTCATCGGGGTGAGCCTCTGGTGTTTACTGAAAATTCTTTGCTCCTGCACGCCATAGTCCCGCCTGGCGCTCACACCTGCAGCTGGTGCCGGCCCCACTCGCACCCACTACCAGCGCTGGCCCCACTTGCACCTGCAGCTGGCGCTGGAGCCACCACTCCCACCCACTGCCGGTGCCCGGCGCCAGTCCCAATCACCCCTGAGGCTTCTCCACCTCTCCCTGCTCCTGAAGGGTGATCAGGGCAGCAGCTGCTGCTCTCACCTGCTGATGGCACTGACCCCAATGGCTCCACGCCGTCAACAGGTGTGAGTGGGGCCGGCACCATTGACATGTGGGAGCAGGGGCAGCGAGAGCAGGGCTGCCAGCAGACAGGGGACCCGGGGCTGGGGGCTGCAGTGGGAGGGGCCAGATGGGGGCGCAGAGGATGGGCTGAGACCCACCCCTATGCCTACAGCAGCCCGCAGCCCACAGTTCCTTTCAAGGTGCACAAATTCATGCACTGGACCCCTAGTACTGTAATAAAATCTTGATTCAATTTAGCAAATATTGATTGAAAACTCATATGTGCTTATCATTGTGCCAGGTATGATGAAAGAACAAAAAAGGCTATGAAATAATTTCTAAAAATTTAGAAAATAATTTCTAAAATGTCTCAGCATAGATGCAGAGACAAAAAGAATGACTTCAGAAAATTTGTGGTGTTATAATAGAGACACAAAATAACTTTTCTTGGGCCCAGTTGACATGGCTCAGTGGTTGAGCATCGACCTATGAACCAGGAGGTCACGGTTCGATTCCCAGTCAGGGCACATGCCTGGATTGCTGGCTTGATTCCCAGAAGGGGGTGTGCAGTAGGCAGCCTATCAATGATTCTCTCTCATCATTGATGTTTCTATCTCTCTCTCCCTCTCCCTTGTTCTCTGAAATCAATAAAAATATTTTTTTTAACTTTTCTTGGGAGGAATCAGGAAAAATATTGAGATGTAATGGCAAATAAATTGGATTAGAATAGATGAAGGTGGGGCTAGAACATTCCAGACAGGTA